TCGATGTCGATGTCGTTGTATAGTTTTCTTTGTCTTGTTGTTCTCTAAATATGATATTGTCTACAGAGCTTGTCTCGTGGCCACCATCCGCTCGTCAGGAGCATCTCAAAGTACTATCAAACTAGTAGCAACTAATCTTATTGCTAGCGGTAAACTTGCAGGTAAAAACTGATGTTCAATTAGAAATTATCGAAATTTGGTGTTTGTAATAAATACATCAGGTATTTATTGTTCCATTTTTCAATGATAAAATATTCTCTGTKTATTTTCAGAGGGCGTACAGCTTTTGTGTTTGATCGATAAGGGACTGGATGCCTGTCGTTATTTGCAGACGTATGGAGAATGGGAACAAGCTGCATCATTGGCTAAGGTATGTCGATTGTCCGTGTTTCAATATTTCATTCATTAATTCATTWATATTCTTTCATTTTTACATCGGTCACTTATTCTAATTCTTTTGTTTACTAGATGTTCTCTTTCTGTTTTCTTCCATTCATATCTATCAGTTCATTTATCCACTAATGTGTCATTTCGTCCACTGCYAACTCTTGTGTTCATTGCCTATCCATCCATCCATTTTTTCATCCATTTGAATTTCCCTACAGGCTACACTGAACTATCCTGACTGTGCCGAGGTCATGCGAAGGTGGATTGAACATCTCTCCAGCACTCATACCAGTCAACAGGTAAATTGGTCTCTTCTGAATATGCAAACTCGAAACATTCTCTGGTAGCATCGGAACCATTGCTCCTCAGGTTTGAAAATGATAGAGTATGTGGATTTTTTACACACCTTTTATCCGACTTTTCGCTTTAAGTAAAAGCCTAAAAGCTTTCAGTAAGCGAAGAATAACGTACAATGAAGTAACATTARTGACAAGTTTGATTTTCCGTGTAAAAAAAAAAAAAACAAAACAAAAACAAAACAAAACAAAACAAAAACAACAACAAAAACAGATAAACAGCAAATTTGTGGGAAGAAAATTTCTTAACTTGGAGCAGCTGTATTTTGTTGCACAGTAATCTGGATGAATCGGCATTATTCATTAAGAGTATTGAAATATCATTATAAAACTACCGATTGAAGTTTTTCATTTTTGTGTCTTTCAGAGCAAGGCAATTCTTGTGCTGCTTTCTCTTGGTCAATTCCACAAAGTACTCGAAATGTTGCACAGGTAATGAAACTTTGCTACTGTCGTTTCTACTCAAGCAGTGCAAAGCAAAGCAAAGCAAAGCAAAGCAAAGCAAAGCGGAGCAAAAACATGATGATGATGATGATAATATCAATCAACTGTTCGCCCATCCCTCCTTGAGAGAGATTTAGCAGCAATTCTACTTGAATGACCTTCAACCATTGATAGTTAAACTGTTTTCCTTTCGTCTGAAACAACATTTCAGTATTTGACTTGGGTCGTTATCGTTCAATCGTTTGTATACAGATCTTAAAACAGTCTTCATAGGTTGACATTTTCTTTTCTTTTCCCTTCTGTAAATGATACATTTCTTAATGTATCATCATATATTTGATAAGCGTACTATGACCTATGTGTGAGAACCATTTTAGTTACAGTATTGATAATGATGACAATAATACCTTCTTTTCAGTATGAGGTACTTTGATCGAGCTGCGTTGTTCTCTGAGGCCTGCCAGGAATTTGGTTTCGATTTCCAACATGATGACCGAATGCGTATCCTTTTTATGATAACCAAATCAACAACTTACAGCTCACGTTGCAGCCGGTCTTTTGGAATTACGCAACCTACAACCATTATTCCCATCAATCAAAAACGTCCTTCAAGTGTCAGTGTTTTGTTCTACATCCTCCGTGTTAATAATGCTTCGTAATAAAGTAATTATCAATGAAACCACTACATTTACCATTTTTTGCCCAGACCGTTCTCACTTTCCTAACGGGAAATCTAAGGCTCCGGTAAGAGACAAACCGAAAATCCCAGAATCTGGGTCGTAATAAATATGCATACTGACGGCGCATGTAAAATCATAGCCTCATTCKTCTYCAACCAGAGCCTTCGATTTCCCGTTGGGAAACAGACAATGATCTGGGTGCGCTTTCCATTTGTCAGAACTGGGTGGCCAGACCCAGAGAAAATGTCATTATATATCATTCCCATTTCGTTAGGAAATTCAAATTTTCAAATTCTATCCATTATTCTAAAGAAAACCTCGAAATGACTGAAAAWTGTTGACAAAAAGCATTATATACCWCTAAATAGAGTGGGCTGGTCGGCCAGTTCTGCCTAAATGGAAAGCACACTGGGTACGAGAATGCTTCATTTCTTAGCTAGTTTTATCATACGATTTTCCTTAGCCTGGTTCAGTATCCTTAGTTGATACAGTCAATGCCGAGTACGCTCGTTACCTACAGGGACTGGGACTCAAGAAGCCAGCGGTTTACTTCGGCAACAAAGCAGGMGACAAAGGCAAAGAATTAYTAGAAGGAATGTACAGTTAGTTTTAACAAGGTTTGCTGTAAAGCTATACAGGAAGACCGAACAGAATTGTGAGATAGGAATACACAAAAAGAGCACAGCGTATATAAAAAAAATACAAAGTAGAAAGAAAACAAGAAAAGAAAGATAGGAAAAAAGAAAAAGAAAAGGGAATAAAGAAAGAGCATTAAAGTGGACTGAATTGAGATGTGAGTACCAAAATATGTCCGAAATCTTTGCAGCAAGGTAAACATTCTCATGAAAGAT